GCAGGGGGGTTGGAGATTCATGATCCTTGAGGTCCCTTCCAACCCTGGCCATTCTGTGATTCTGTGAGGCTTATTGGCTGTGCAGAACAGTCAGTCATCAGGTATGGCAGACATAGGGACCCTCAGCATCATCATTATCCCAGCTTTCTATTAATAGTGTGATCTCTCCTGAAAAAAACTATGTGGTGCTTGTAAGTTAGAGGTTTGCATTGGTAGGAAACAAAATGTCCCAGAAAAGCTGTTAAGAGGAGCTCCTGCTGAGAGAGATCTGCTATGAAATACAGCATACCTACTAAGCCTGACGAAGAATAATTAATGCCAAGAATGATATTCTGATACAAACTACCAACATTTTGTCAGAAGGTCAATCAATTGTTTAAAAAAAAGTGAAAATGTATCTACAGGTCTGACATTTTTGCACTGAGGAAAATGCAAACATGAATGTAAAAAGATTAACATTTTTGTAGAAATAATGTTTGTACTTCTTAGGTAACTTTATCTTCATTTTTTACTATCACAATTTTGTTGCCAGATTAAGTTCTAAAGTGACAACATGTCTTTAATGAGGTCAGTTCTGCAAAATGCTCATCTGCTTTACCTGAACCTGGGGAAATCATGCTGCTTTCTTACGTTATCTTGTATTTATTTAGTTGCTATTTTAACACCTTCATTTCTTCTGGGGAATGTAAAGTTTTTGTGCTGCTATCTTAATACAGTCCAGTGCCAGTAATTATATTGCCTTTTGTCAACAGTTCTTGTTCCTTAGAGTCTGACAGCAAAACTTTTAAAGCACCAAACACCACGTCCACTAATTCTGAGTTCCCACTCTGCCCTGTGCCAGGATGTTTTTCTACTGTGCTGATACTGGTATTAACATAGCTGTGCCAGCATAAAGGAAGCTGATTTTGCCTACCGAATTGTTAATGCTATGTTAGGAGAGACTGTTTTGTCACAGGTCATTGGATGCTGAATGAGAACACGTGTACCAGTCAGGCAATACTGTGAAAAGGATAAATGTGATCCTTCTGGCAGAGCATTCCAGGTGGGATTCGGCTTTTGCTGCTTGTCCACTAAAATCCTCTTCTGCAAAATGGCTGGCAAAGGCCAGCAGCTCAGGTCTTTGCTGCTCTTTGTATTTGTTTTCTTGTTGTTTACAGGAAGCAAGATAAGGAACTTGTGACTCAAAACTTGTGAAAGACTCTGCTCTGCTTTCAACATTTGTGTTGGCAGACAAGCTGTAACACAAATGGGCCATTTAATGCAAACTGATAATGTCCATCTGTATGTGGATGGTCTCTGCTTGCTTGTGTATATAACCACTAGTTATTTTTTCTACCTCAGCTGTATCAAGAAGCTTGAAACCCAAACCAACTGAAAGCAGTGTGCTTTCCTTAAGGCTCAAAATTCATCTGGAGATCAGGAGGCAGTGATTTGGTTTGCTGTACATTCTGGAAAGAATTATATTTGGAGAAAGCCAGTTCTTTGGAGCATGTTCTTTAATTGGGTCAGAGAAGAGGTTTTGTACTTTCATCCACTTCTGTTTGAAGGAAGACAAAAAGAAAATAAATTCTCAGAGTGGCAAATGTCACTCCTAGGTACTTGTTCAATATCTCAGAACCCAAGATCAGAACTTGGATAACTTTGAGCATTAGTATTAGGCTCTAGTCCTTGATTTTGTGCATACAAGAATGGAATCTCATTAGAAAGTATACATGGTTTTCAAGTTGCTCATGTGAACAAAAATATTCATATGGAGAGTGTTTCAGGGAAGTAAAAAATTACTTCAGAAGAAATATACATTGAAACGCCATTGGAGGAGGTATTTTGAGTGATAGATGTGCAGTGTCTGTGCTAATTTGGAATAAATGTGTAACTGTCCAATTCTTCTGGTATATTTTTGTTGTGCTTACGGCTTGACCATCATTAGTAATTAAATCTAGTAATGTATGCTGGCTGCTTTCTATTCATTTGCTGTTGATCACTGGTAATCCGTGTTTTAAAATTACCATCATGGCTGTATTTGCAAATCAGAGTTTATGTGTGTTACATCCTGGGGAATACGTTTGTCATTCCTCTTCATGTACTACAGAAATATATGGCAATTCGAGGTTGCATTTTGAAAGTCTCTTTCAAAGCAGTCTGTACTTTCACATCCTTCTGTCCTGGAAAATATAAAGGGCGCATCAAGTATTGGAATCTGCCTTTGAAACTTACTGAAGATTTTTGAGTTCTTGAAGATTTTCAGATTTCCCAAAATGTTTCATATTCTTTCTTGCAATATTGTTAACAAATCTTCTGTTCTTCTAACAAGCAGGGATAAAATTTTACCTTCTCTTTTATCAAATGAGAAGGAAGAGTAATTCAGTGACGCTTTTAACAGTTATTTTTCAGGTTTTTTTCTCACAAAGATTTGTTTCCTTAAGAAAACATTTGTTTATTTGATATCTGCCACTCACTAAGGAACAGAGAAAATGCTGTAAGTCCTTGCTTTGTCATAGATTTCCTTCATAAACCTCTTTTTTTTTTTTTTTTTTTTTTTTTTTCCCAAGAACGAATGCATTATAAATTGTTTTTCTGTCTGGTTGAAACCCATATATATATATTTTAATTTATTGTTGAAAGCTTTAAGAGTGATTTAATGAACAGTGCGGAGCTTCAAGGTTAGCTGGTGAGATGATAGTGACCAAGTCTTTTCTGGTGCACGGTGCTTTTTACTGTCTGTGTCTTTGAGAAAAGTACTACCCAAAAGCACCTTACGCTCTGCCCAGCTAATGCTTGGTTCTGCCAGCTGTACAAAAATGTAGGAAATCTGTGGTGCAC